TGAATGTAAAACTGATGATATGCCCTGTAAACTTTCACTCAATCCACAATAAAAACCTTAAAATAAAAAGAACCCAGGAAAAACAAAGGGACATAGAACTATCTACAAAAGAAAAAAAGAGGGAAGGGGCAGAGTACACTGGGTCTGAGGCTGGAGTCCAGCACTGTGCCTGGCACACAACCGGCCTTCAGCAACAATGTGATGCCAGTCTAGCTGGGGGTTTGCTTTAGGCATTAGGAGTGGGTGGTCAAGTGTCCTTCAAATCCTCCTCTCCGAATATGAGTGCATATGTCCTCCAGGATTAGGGAAGTAATGTTGTGAGTCAGTTCTGACTCATAACAACAGAACAAAACACACGCAGTCCTGCCGAATCCTCACAAGCACTTTGATGTTTGAGTCCATTGTTGTAGCTTGATCACAGTCCATCTCACTGGGGGGTCTTCCTCTTTCCCAATGACCCTCAAATGTACCTAGCATGACGTCCTTCTTCAGGGATTGGTCCCTTATGATCACATGTCCAAAAACATTAGATAAAGTTTTGTCATCCTCACTTCTAAGGTGATTCTAGATATACTTTTGTCCAGACTGATTTGTTCATTCTTATGGAAGTCCATGGTATATTCAGTATTCTCCACCAACAACGTAAGTCAGATGCATCAATTCTTTGGTCTTCCTTATTCATTGTCCAGCTTTCCCATGTACATGAGGCAACTGACAATGGTCTGGCTTAGGTCAGGTGTGCCTTAATCATCAAAATGACATCTTTGCTTTTAACTCTTTAAAGAGGTCTTCTGCATCAGGTCTGCCCAATTACAGGCATCACTGGATTTCTTGACTGCGGCTTCCGTGAGTGCTCATTATGGACCAAGTACAGCACTCCTCACCGACTATCTCAATATCAGACATTTCGTGTTTACCACAATGGTCAAAAAATCGACTATCCAACTATTTTGTGCACTACCAACATAAGTCTGGCAAGGATAGAGGCGAGAGTAACACTGCAGTGTTGGTTAGGGCAATGTGCCAACTCGGCCAGGCCACGATTCTCAGTGGTTTAGATTATGCCGGATGTAATGTGGAGTCCTGGTGTGGGGCTGTGGGGTAATGCGACAGACGGCAAGGTCGTTTGAACCACAAGGCCGCAGTTCAAACTCACTGGCCGCTCCTTGGAAACCCTATACAGGCTCGCTATGAGCAGGAGTCGGAAACGACTTAACAATGACACCGATACTGAAGTAATCTAGCAGTTATCTGAGGTGGTTAGTCTCTAGTTTTGCATAATGACATGGTCTTAGAACCTAACCATGTTGATACGTGGGGAATGAGTGTAAAATGAAATCCTTGATGCAGTATTTTCTCCGTTTATCATGCTGCTGCTTACTGGTCCAGCTGAGAGGATTTCTGTACATGAGCAGTGAGTGATTTACAGACCTATGTATATATGTCTTTCTAGCAGCTGAGCTGGGGAGCTACCATTCCCTGCTCTGGGCACCAAGCGGCATGGTGAGAACACTAGCCTGAATGGGAGACCCCCCTTCCATCCCACAAATGTCCACCCAGCAGAAAACAGGCTTTCTGGCCACTGGAATTGCAAAGTTGCTTTGAACCAGAAGGTCACTGGTTCAAGCTCACCAGTAGCTCCTCGGAAACCCTGTGCAAGGTTGCTATGGGTCAGAACTGACACAAAGGCCCTTAACAACAACAACGACACTAGTCATACATGTGACACGTCTCCATCCATGCACACTGTCCTTAAAACACACAACAGGAAGGACTTACTTCACAATGAGTTTTGTCAGGACTTCGTAAATTCTTTTTTCCCAGTATTCGTAGTAGGAGGCCAGCTTGGGGGCCTTGCCCGTGTTGGTGTGGATGACCAGACCCTCTGCTTTGGTCAGCAGGGGCCCAATGGCAAGATACCACCTGACCATGTGGTCCAGATCTTTGGCCCTTTCTCGCTCAATGTGCTCAAAGAATTCCTTCACACCTGTGGAAGGAGAGTTCCGTCAGAGCCAGTTCTGGACACCGGAGACGACAAGTACTTACAACCACGGAGCATTAAAAGAGCCCTGGTAACATAGTGGATTACCACAAGGTCACTAGTTCAAATCTACCAGTTGCTCCCTGGGAAAAAGAAGAGGCTTTCTGCTTCCATAGCCTCAGGAACCCTATATAGGGTCGCTATGAGTCGGAATCAACCAGTGTTGGCACACCACCACCCCACAAAAACTACTCTACTGTCCAACGTGGCACAGTGGTTAAGCTCTCAGCTGCTAACTGAAAGGCTGGTGGTTCGAACCCACCAGCTGCTCTGCAGGAGAAACATGGGCAGAGTCTGCATCCATAGAGATTTACAGCCTCACACTCACTCCACGGAGCACTTCTCTTCCGTCCTATGGGGCTGCTCTGAGTTGGAATCAACGCGACAGCAGCAGAAGAATGATTCTGTGTGACGTTGTATCGATGGATATGTGACATTACCACGCTGGGCTGTTCACCGCAGGGTCGATGATTCGAATCCACCAGTTACTCGCAAGATGAGGCTTTCTGCTCCCATAAAGATTTATAGACTGAGAAGCCTTATAAAGGGTTGCTATGAGTCAGAGCTCTGGTAGCGTAGCGGTTACAAATTGGGCTGTGAACCACAAGGTTAGCAGTTCTAAACTACCAGCTGTTCCACAGAAGAAAGATGAGGCATTCTGCTACCGTAAAGATTTACAGCCTCGGTAACCCTGTACAGGGTCATTATGAGTCAGAACTGAATCCACAGCACATAATAACAACAACAACAACAAGTCAGAGCCAAGCAGACTACACACCACAACAACATGGCATTAAGCAATGGCTGAAGCCCCACAGGCCTATGTATCTCAAAAAGCAAGCCCTGATGTAAATTAAGGACATTAATGAATCATAGCGACCAGTACTGGCTCATCAGCGCATCGAGTCCATGTAAGGCATCAGTGAGAGAAAGTATGCATAGGAAGGATGGGTCGGTGGGAACGCTGTGTACTTTCTGCATAACTTTCTGCCCTACTAAAGCTGTTCTGGAGTCCTGGTGTGGCGCTGTGGGTTAAAGCACCAGACTGCACACCCATTTGAACTGCAAGGTCGGCAGTTCAACTTACCAGCTGCTCCTTGGAAACCCTAAACAGGGTCACTATGGGTCAGAACCGACTAGACGGCACTTAACAAAGCTGTTCTAAAATAGAATGCCTACTTGTTTTTAATAAAATTTTTTAAAAATTAGCTGTATGGTTTTGAAATACAAAGCCTCTATGGTCAAAAAGCGATATAGTCAGGTCTGGAATGGAACTCATCCTCGTGGCCCAATTTTCACCCAAGCGGTGGACAGGTGTATAGGAGGGACAACAGCACTAGTGAGGGCTACTCGTCATGGAATGGTCACCCATCCTAGATCAAAAGGGCAACATTTACCAGGGGACAAGGTTCAGAGGGGCTGGGAAGGAGGGTGGAAAGGAAGTAGGACCCACAGGAAGAAAGTGGGATAAATGCTGTTACATGGAGTGGATAGGGTTGTTGTTGTTAAAGTGCCGTCGAGTCAATTCTGCTCCATAGTGACCCTGTATAGGGTTTCCAAGGAGCTGGTGAGCTTGAACCACCGACCTTGCAGTTCAAAGGACTTTGCAGTGTGATGCACAGGGTTAGGTACCTGTGAGCCACCTATGTCTCAATGCCTTGATTTACTGGTACTGACTTCTTTTCTGCTTTGGGTCAGAGTTAGAGGCTGTTTTAATTTTTTAATTAAAATTCAAACAAAAGTTTTTATTGTGAATTGAGTGACGGTTTACATGGAAGATCAGCAGGTTTACGTCCAGCAAACCCCCACTTTGCTTCATCTCACTGATGGCGGCCCCCTCCATGTGACAGCCGCTGTCCCACTTCCTCCCTGTGGTGCCTGCTTTCTTTCCCCCCTCCTTCCAGTGCACACAGCTTGACCGTGGTAATGAGGTCACCAATATGTGCAGAAGAGAAAAGGGCATTTTGGGTAAGAGAGGGGGAAACTATGTATAATTTTGCAACTACAAGAGCCAAAACAATCTATGTGTGGTTACACATGTACGAACTTGGTCCTATGTGTGTATGGGTATAAATGTGTGGACACTTATCCATATGTTGTTGTTGTTAAGCGCCGTCGAGTTGGTTCCGACCCATAGAGACCCTGAACGGGGTTTCCAAGGCTGTAAATTTGTACGGGAGCAGAAAGCCTCATCTTTCTCCGGCGGAACAGCTGGTAGTTTCGAACTGCTGACCTTGTGGTTCGCAGCCCGATTCGTAACCACTAAGCTACCAGAGCTCCTTACATATCCACATAGGCAGCCCTATAGTCCTAGTGTGGCACTCACTGTAGGGTATGCACTGCACTGCTTGCTAACTGCACGGTTGTTTTCAAACTCACCAGCCACTCCTCGGAAACCTTGACTGGGTAGCTATGAGTCGGAACCAACTCCACGGTACTTAACACCACCACCAACAACAACAAATAAATATATAAGCAACCCTAAGTACAACAGACCATACGAGAGTCCCGGTGTGACATATAATGTACTCGAACCTCTAACCTTTCAGTTAGCAGCCAAACACGTTAACCATTTTACCAGCGGTGGGTTCCCAAGTCGACACATACTCTAAACAAACAAGAAAAGCAGCGTAGGCAGTCCCATTCATTACCCATGCTAAAGCTAAACACAGATGGTGGCTTTTGAATCCTTGGACAATCTGGTTTTTCTTTTCACAGTCCTGGATTCCTTGTGGACTAGTCTGTTGTTGTTGTTGATAAGTGCCACTGAGTTGGCTCTGACTCATAGCGACTCTGGATAGCCTTTCTGAGGCTGTATTATCTTTGTGGGAAAGGTGCTCTGGTAGCGTAGAGGTTACGAGTCAGGCTGCCAACCCCAAGGTCAGCAGTTCAAAATTCCCAGTGGTTCCGCAGAAGCAAGCTGAGGTGTTCTGCTCCTGTAAAGATTTACAGCCTCAGAATCCCTGTACAGGGTCACCATGAGTCGGAACCGACTCCACAGTACTTAACAACAACAACAATATCTTTGTGGGAGCAGAAAACCCCGTATTTCTCCCACAGAGCAACTAGTCTAAGACTGCTTAAAACATCTTCTTTGAAAGAGTAAATGTGAGCCCATAAGGATCTATTTCACATTAAGGTCACAAAGTTACTGAACAAAGTACTTCTGCTTTCACAGACACAAAAATCAGTATAACTGTTGAAATCCAAACCAAACTCAGCGCTGTCGACTCCAATTTCCCCACACTGCAAGTCTTTACGGGAGCAGACTGCCTCATCTTTCTCCCTAGGAGTGTCTAGTGGGTTTGAGTTGTCAACGTTTTGGTTAGCAGTCCAAAACCTTAACCCACTGCACTACCAGGGCTTCACTGTCCAAAACAATACATAAAACATAACCAAAAGTCAGAATTCCCCAAGGTTGTTTTTGTTTTGTTTTTTTTTCAAATAAATGACTTTAATCATTCGGGTCAGTTTCATTAGTCAAATAACAGAAGGATGGTCAACAGGGTCTTGTTCGTGCCACAGAGACCCACAAAGTCATACTTACCGGGGAGCCCCTCCTCACTGGTGGGCACTGGGTATTTGAAGAGATTTACAGTCTCGATCAAGGTAAGCCGGGAGGTAATGTCGTTCGCATTCTTATGGATCTGATGGACGAGGGACTCGAACTTCCCAATGGCCTGTTTGCACCGAGTTATGTAGTCAGCAATACCTTTGGAGGAAGACAAACCAGAAAGACGTGGGGTCTTCAACCTTGGTCACATCTCTGTGTTTTACAGACTGAGCTCTGTCCCCCGATAATGTATGTTGCAAAGGCTCAGTCTCTCCCCTGTACTTACAATCACATTTACAGAGGAACGGGCTTTCCGTATTAAAGTAACGAGGCAGGACTGGTGTAAGGTAGACCTCACATCAGTCTCCTGAGCAGACACAAATGGAGGAGAAGATAAACAACACCTGGGACTGAGGAACAGAGGCTGAAAAGGGACAAAAAACCTTCCCCAGAGCCAACACACAAAGAGCCTTTGCCCAGAGCCGGCGCCCTCAATCACACTTTTAGTCGCCTTCGCGTGAGAAAATAAATTTCTATTTGTTTCAGTCTTCCACCTGTGGTGTCCCTGTCACAGCTGCACTAAGAAGCTCAGACACCCTCCCATCGACATCTGTAACATTTGTACTCATTCCAACTCCTTGGGTCTTGGAGGTGGCAAAGATCCAGTGAGGGATGGGACAAGAAGACCTATGCCCACAATCACCCAGACGATTCATTTTGACAGCTCACATTTCAGAACAGACATAATCTGATGTACCATGGCAGGATGGAGGAGACAAACCCCACTATCCACTTGTACAAAAAGACACGCTCCAAAGTAGGAGGAAAATTATAACCAACAAACGATGAGTCTAGCTAGAATATATGAACAGTATTCAAAACGCAGGACTCTTGGTATGGCATTGTAGGATCAGCGTTGGACTGTGAACCACAAGGTAGGGCATTCATACTCATAAGCTGCTCCTCAGAAACCCTTTACAGGTTGCTATGAGTTGGAATCGACTAAACCGCACCTAACAACAACAATTCAAGACTCAACAGTTTAAAAACAAAAACAAAAAACATACAAAGGTGGGTCAGACATTATCCACACTCAGGCTGCAGAATTTATTTCAATCAACTTTTAGAAAAGACATATACATCATGTTTCGACATAATCTTTTTTTTTTTTCAATACACTTTGTCCATCTGTCAACAGCTTCCAATCTCCCTTATTAAAATATGTTTGAGGTTGAGCTGCAAGCCATGAATGCACTGCTATCTTCACTTCGTCAGAGGTGAATCTTTGTCCTCCAAGGGCTGCTTTCAGGGGACCAAACAGGTGAAAGTCCAATGAAACAAGCTCAGGACTGTAGGAAGGATGCTGTAACACCTCAAAACGAAGTTTTTGCAAAGTGTCAACAGTGTAGGCAGAGGTGTGCAGATGTGCACTGTCATGTAAGATCACAACACCCTTGGAGAGCAGTCTTCTGCATTTAATACGAAGTTTAGGCTTCAGCTCTTCAGGGAGCATCTCACTGGAATGAGCACTGTTGATTGATGAAGTTTTTTACTAATAATGTTCCAATACTGGCCCTAAGAGTCCCAGAAAACTGTAAGCATCAATTTTCCAGCTGATGGTTGACTTCCAGATTTTTCTTGGTTGACGAATGAGGATGTTGCCATTCCATATTCGGCCATTTACTCTCAGGCTCGGAGTGATGAATCCATGTCTCGTCACCAAGACTTTTTTAAAGAAAATTAGACCTTCCTTTGAGTTTCGATCCAAATTTTGTTTGCAGATGTCCAAAAGCTTCTGTTTATGTTCTTCTGTGAGTTGTTTCGATACACATCTCATAAAAACTTTTGAAACCCACATCTTTTGTGGATTATTTCGTAGGCAGCACCAGGGCTGATTTGCAAATGATTTGCTACATAATCCGCTGTCACTCATCTATTTGACAGGATCATTTCACATGCATGCTCAATGCTGACATCAGACATGAACCTAAACAGGTGTTTCAATATAACTGGAGTGCAGATAATTTTTAACTCACCCTCGTACAGTCCAATTACAAAATCAGAAAAAGACATTTCACCACAGAGAGTACAGAGGTGGCAAACACCTCAGCACTGTTAGCCATTAGAGAACCACCAATTAAAGCCCGTCATATGCATGCGAAAGCCGGGCAGTGAATAAGGAAGACCGTAGAAGAATTGATGCTTTTGAGTTATGATGTTGGAGGAGAATATTGAAAGTGCCATGAGCTGCCAAAAGAACCAATAGATGCATTTTGGAAGAAGTGTAGGCAGAGTGCTCCTTGGAGGCCAAGATGACCAAACTTCATCTCTCATACTTGGGACATACTGTCAAGAGGGACCAGTCGCTGGAGAAGGATATCATGTTTGGTAAGGTGGAGGGTCAGAGAAAAAGAGGAAGACCCCAACGAGATGGATCGGCCAAGTGGCAGCATCGATGGACTCAAGCATGACGTGACAATAGTAATGAAGTTGGCCCAGGATCTAGCAGGTTGCTGTGCATAAGGTTACTATGAGTCGGTATGGACTCGATGGCACCTAACAACAATAACAACAATGAAAGCCTCAATAAACTCCTGGGGCTGGGTGCTGTCGAATTGATTTCAATTCCTAGCAAGTCTCAAGGACAGAGCACAACTGCTCCACTGGGTTTTTGAGGTTGTAATCTTCACAGGAACAGATGAACAAGTCTTTTGTCCTATGGCGCTGCAGCTGGATTCGAACCAACAATCTTTGGGTTCGCAGCCAAGTACTTAACCGCTGTGCCACCAGGGCTCTTCTGAATGAGACACTGTTGCTGTTGTTGTTAAGTGCCACTGAGTCAGTTCCAACCCCTATCAACCCGGTATAGGGTTTCCCATAAGTTCAAGCGGCTGTGAGCTTGAACCAGTGACTTTGTGGTTCAAACCAACTTTGCAGTCCAGCGCTTTAACCCACAGGGCCACCCCAGGAATGAGACCTAACAAATACCTAACAAATGCTGACAAAGTGTGGAGACACTGGGACACTCATCTCTTTCTCCTGGGAATATAAAATGGTACAACCACTGTGGAAAACAGTTTGGTAGTTTCTTTAAGAAACAAAACAAAACTAAACATACAACTACCATATGACCCAACAACGGCACTTCTAAGCATTCTCCCTAGAGAAACAAAGACTTAGGCTCACACAAAAACCTGTACACAAACGCTTATAGCAGCTTTATTTGGAACAACCGACCCTGCAAACCCTCTAGATGGTTTAGCCATGAACGGCTAAACAAACTATGGTACACCTCGAAATGATCTACGGGTAAGCCAACAGCCTACAAGAAATCCCCAGAGAATGCGGCATGAAAAAAGGCTGCCTGAAAAATGTTAACACACTCCACGGTTACATCAACACAGCACTCTCAAAATGGCGGATTACAAAAAAAAAAAAAAAAAAAACGGGGGAAAGGAAAAAACCCTGGGGGGGCATAGTCATTAAAGTGTTGTCAATCAAAAGGTCAGCAGTTCAAAGGTCAAACCCACCAGCCAATCTGCAAGCAAAAGACCGACAGCCTTGGGAACCGTGTGAGGTAGGTCAACTCTGTCCTCCAGTGTCCATAGCCACAGGTTTGGTTTTAGTTTGGCTAAGAAGGTAAAGATGGTGCTGTTACTTTAGGTGCCGTGGAGTCAGTTCTGACTCAGGAATGACCCTGTACAGGATTTCTGAAGAGCAGCTGGTAGGTTTGAACTGCTGACCCTGAGGTTAGCAGTCCAGTGCTGATCCCACATCATCACACCAGAACTCCAAGGGGGTAAGGATGTGGATGGCTATAAAAGGGGAACATGGGAACCCTGTGGGGAGGGAGCTGTCCTGTACTTTGACTGTTATCAACCTGGTGTGGTGCTGCGGGTTAATGCGCTGGATTGCAAGATTGGTTTGAACTGCAAGGTCAGCAGTTCAAGCTCACCAGCCGCTCCTCAGAAACCCTGTAAAGGCTGACTATGAGTTGGAACTGCCTCAATGACACTTAACAACAACAACATCAGTAGCCTGCTAGTTTTGCCAAGATGTTCCCATTGGGGGTGGGGGTGGGGGGTCTGGACAAAGGATACACCAAATCTCTTTGCAGTAATTCTTGAAATTACATGTGAGTGGACAATTATTGCAAAACTAATATTTTAATTTAACAAAGTAAAAGTCACTCTATTTTTGGAGGAGAGAGCTTGAGGTTACATTTTATTTTTACCCGTTATGGATTTTGTCCACCCAAAAATATGTGTTATAAATACTAACTCCCTGGTGTGGTGCTATGTTGTTGTTGTTGTCAGGTGTCATTGAGTCGGAACCAACTCATAGCGGCCCCATGCACAGCAGAACAAAACAATGTCCAATCCTGGGTTAACCTCACTATCGCTGCCACACTTGAGTCCATCAATGATGCCACCTGGCCAACCCATCTCGTTGGGGGTCTTCCTCTTTTTCTCTGACCCTCCATCTTACCAAGCATGATATCCTTCTCCAGCGACTGTTACCTCTAGACAGTATGTCCAAAGTATGAGAGATGAAGTTTAGCCATCTTGGCCTCCAAGGAGCACTCTGGCTGCACTTCTTCCAAAACAGATCTATTGGTTCTTTTGGCAGTCCATGGCACTTTT